TGAGAATTTTGAGTCTTCCTCTCTGCCTGAGCACCAGTCTGTCCCACAACTGGTTGCAGTACTTTTTAGTTGAGTATCACAGTCACCTGATACTCTGCAGTGAATTTTTTTTACAACCAGTTTCATTTTTAACATGTTTTTTATACTCTACTGAACTATAAGTTACTTAAAGGAAGGACCAATTCTGACTTACCAGCCTATCACCTTGCACACCAGTTCTGTTACATGGTACTCGTTAAAGATTTGTTCAAATAAAGAGTAAATAAATATTCAATCTCTCAACTGATACTTAAAACAAACCTGTGACATACGTAAGGTATCATCCCTGTTGTAGAGATGAAGGAATGTTTGCTTATGCTCCAGAAGTTAGTTTGGAGGAGTGCTGATTTCCCATGGGAATCTGTTATGATTCACTCCAAATTAAGTCCACCAAAGTTTATCCAGGTCATAACATACATGCACATACAGAGATTTCTGCAATAGTGTGAATTTTTATAACACTAATTGGATTATTAATCAGGGAACCTGAATTGCACTGTGCAGACTGCCAGTGGTTCTAAAGAGTTGGCCTCACAGGAAGACAAGTTTTGTCACTGCCAGTACAACTGCTCTGAGTGCTGTTACACTATCAAAATAATGAGTAAATATAATAATACAAAGCACCATGCTAATACTGCTGGTGATAGGGGTAAAAAGGTCATTACTCTTAAATAAATGGCTATATTATTTAGGTTTTATTTCTTATACCTTTAATACATTGAAACGCCTGTAGGAAAACTGAGTTTGTACACAGCTAATCCCTAACACCTCTTCTTGACCCCTCACGGAAACCGGTTTTACAGTATGATTAGGATAACATGTGGATTCTTAAGAATATACTTATCATACTGTATTATATTTTAAATAAGAATGTACTACAGAATTATCAGAGTCTGTTCCCCCAAAGCCAACAGGACTCCCACCTACACAGCAGCAGCTCTAGCAACACAAGTCAGGGGTCAGGAATGCTGAAATCACCATTACAGAAATAAAAGCATGGGTGACCAGGGCTTGCTTTTAGAGACAGAAGATAAAAGGAGCATTTCCTTCACACAGTATTCTCCCACAGCAATACCCTGAATATAATAAACAAGCCGGGAGTGGGAGAAGGTAACAGAATGAGAGATTTGGATGTCTTTCACCTATCACAAGAATAGGTAAAGTAACTACGGGCTGAAAGAAAGACAGCTGCCTAGTACAGCACTAACTGCAACAGAACACCCACCGTAAATTTGGCGTTTCAAATACCCAAAGGAAGCAAGGTTGGTAACCAAATGTAAAACTGAAATGTATGTATGCCTAGAAAACAGTTACACTTTTCAGCAGTACACATCACCGTAACAGAGGACAAAATGAGGCCATGAAATCTGGTTAAGCCAGGCTGGAACACTAGACGACAGCAGAGGAGCAAATGGAAAAAAGCTAGGTTTAGATAGCTTCTGCGGTCGTGTGTGGTCATGCTGGACAGCATATTACAGAATCCCATGATGTTAGAAAAGAAAGGGCAATGAAGACTCAAAGACAGGATTGGAAATGATGCAAGAACAAGAACAAGAACAGCTAATTTATGGAAGAGGAAGAGGCAGATGGCTGGTAAAGAGAAAAGTACTTCTAGAATTGTTACCAATTATTTAAAAAATAGATAGTTATTAAGAGTGATGGCATCAAAAAACCATTTCTCAATCAACTTCCAAAACCTCTCTTTTGAAAAACTTCTAAACAACACACCAAAAATAAAAGGAAGATAGTATAGCGCTGAATAATTTCAGAAACTCGGAGTCAGTTTTATCCTCTGTTCTATGGAATACTAGCCACAAAAGACATCTCTTTTAAACTTTTCCCTCCGCATAGAGATCCAGAATCCTCTGTAGCCATTAAAAATATTGACTTGTAATGAACCGTTTTTTACTAATGTGTGAAACTATCCCTAAGTTATAAAAACGGGTTACAGAATTATATACACATCATCCATACGCTAAACTCTAGGCTGGAATCAATTTCCTAGTGGGACAGGGAAATCCTTCGGATCCAACTTCTACAGGAGCCTTCAATGCACAGCACTTGAAGACTACCGGGTCACCTGCGCAGCCCGCGTTCCTCCAAGATACTCTCCGACTACCCAGTCGCACCGGCCTGACCTGGAGGGCAGCTGTCAGACCCCACGACAGAGTCGGCGACTTGGAGATCCGCACCCGTCGGGAGGGGCGGAGCACACCGCGTCGCGCTTGCGGAGGGACGGAAAGCAAAGGATGTGTTGTCGACTAGACGCCGGGGCAGCTGCGGCGGCGGAAGAGGCGGGCCCGGCTGCCCTGCGTAGGGCAGCCAGTGGCAGCAGCGCGGCCAGGCTCAGCGGCCGCGCAACCCGGGCGCCCTCCGCGGCTTTCTCGTCCACTCCCTCTCCTGACCGCAGGCTTACACGAAGGCGCAGTCCTGCGAGCTAAACCGCTCCAGGTACTACTAGCAACGCATCGCTGCCGTCACACCCCCGCCGCTTCGTGACACCGCGTACCAATCGCTCGCCGGCGCGCGCGTGGCCCTCCAATCAGGGGGAAGCTGCGGACGCCGGTGGTTGCTCGGGAGATGCAGCTCCTTTGCATTCGGCGGTGGTGGTTGGTTAGGAGAGGCCCGGATGTTAACCCTTTATTACTAAGAGGACACCTGACTAGGGCAGAACTGTGCGGGACTAGCTTCGGCCAACAAAGTGTGTACAGCGCCTTCCCTAGACCATTCTAGGTTGCCCTTAAAAGAGGTGCCATGTGGTGGGGTAAGGAGGGTCCCCGGCAGACGATGTCCAGTCGATCAGTCGATGGCCTTTCCAAAGCCTGTGCACTGCCAGTGCATCCCGGGTCGTCCCACCTTGAACAGACACCGTTTCCAGGGCTTCACTGTTCCCTAATGTTTCAGGCCTCACTTCCCTAATCTGAAATCGGGGGCCACTGCTAATGCCTGGTTGAAAACAAGGGTGAAAGCAAACAACCCTCTGAAGTCTTACCCATTTACTCCTCACCAAATTTACTAAGACTTGTAGGCCAGGGTATTCGAGTGGACACCCTGAGCTGTTAAATCCCAGCTTTGGGTAAGCCCAGCCACCCGGCTTCCCGTTTCCACCCCCTACCCCCACGCCCCGCATTAATTCCCAAGCTACTGACAAACCTCCCAACCTGAAAACAGTCCCCCACTCCTTTCTCCCTGTTTCTCACAAGTGTTCCAAATGCAACCTTTGAAGATTTTCCTAGCAAACTGGCCTGTTTGACTAGGTGGATTACTCAGCTGACAATGAACATAATCTTCCTCCCACAGCAATTTCACTCATCTTCATCTTTTGGCTCAGAGCAACAAGTCTAAGATGAACCCCAGCACCCAATCTCTGCCCTTTCTCCTTCTAAGACCCCATCCCCCAATTTATCTCCACAATTCAACAAACTATTGAGCATACAGGAAGGTTTATGATGAGGCATGGGGTTTTCATTCATCTTTAGGCTCTCTTCCACTGTTCCTTCTTAAACTCCAACACTGAATAGACTGCAGCCCCTTGAAGACAGAGATGATTATCTTTTCATACTAGACTCTAAAATAGTGCCTGTGATGAACTGGATCTTACTTAATCAAAAATTTTCTCAACCTGCCTCCCCACTTGTCAGGGATGACTGAGAGCATGGAGGCTTTGGAGTCTGGTAGATGAATTTAAAGCCTTGGGTTCCAACACTGGACGCTCTGTTACTTTGGCCAAATTATTCTTTCTCATTATCATCATCTACCATTTTTCAAGTATTCTATAGTTAACAAGGGACTTTGCATATTCTCTCCCATCACATTCCTGCAAGGTTGGTACTGAAACCCCTACTAGACATGAAAGGAAATAGACACTAAGAGTGGTAAAACAATTTGCGTATACTCAATAAACTCTTACGTGGGAGAAGCAGATTTAAATCTAGGTCTCAATACAAAAACCCAAACTTGTTCCATTATTCTGCACTGCTTCCAGATTTCTGTCTTATCTGTAAATTGAGGCCATTACCTATCTGGTAGTTATAGACACCAAATAAAATAACATGCAAAGTACCTACAACTGGACCATTAGGTTCCCTCCCACTTTCAAACCTCTCAAAATAGCAATTGACATATTTTCTGACTCAACTGTCTCATAAATTCCCTGGAATCAATCTTAATGGTGGACCATTAGATTCCATCACTCCAAAAAAAAAGCAGCATGTTTAACAAATGCTTGTGAGTCAGCCCCACAGTAGGCCCAGACTTGGAGCAGAAAACTATGTACACAAGTAACCTAGCAGACAGAAGGTAGGTGGACAAAAGGGACAGGGAAAAGGAGTAGGCAACTAGTAAGCACCCACCTCTGCCATCAAGTCGCTCTCCTAGCACACAGTAGGGCAAACAGCTGATCTGTGAGAGCTGTACAAATTCTTTTGACTCTTGAGCATGAACAACTCCCAGTTCAATCTTAAAAGTGCCCAAAGAAGAAGTCGGTGGTTTCGGGACTGGTGAAACCAACTGGGCCTGCCTACAAAGTTTGTGCCGTGGTATAGATTGAATACTCAGCACCAAGATGACACAGCATAGGAAACACAGACTGGAGAGGGTGGGGGCGAGCAGTCATCCACAGGCTAGTGGCTACCACACTGGACAGAACAGTTACAGAACACTCCCATCAATGTAGAGTTCTATGGAACAGTGCTGCTCCAGGAGCTGACATTTCCACCCTCAGCACTTCTCCCTAGCATTACATGGGTTCATTCTGCTTCTTTCACAATATAATGCAAAGCTCCAAGGAATGGCAATGGATGCCTTAGAGCAAGGGTCAGCAAACTGTTTCTGTAAAGGGCCAGGTAGAAAACGTATCTTAGGCTTTGTGGGCTATCCACTGTTACAACTATTTAACCTCTAGTATTGTAGGTAGGGTAAAAACAACCATAAATAATATGTAAATGAATGGATATACTGTGTTCCAATAAAACTTTATTTAAAAAAAAAGACAGTAGAATGCCATAATTTACCAGACCTGGCTTCAGTGAAACTGTACAGGCATCTTCAGAATACAGTGGAATCAGAGGAAATCCCCCTCTCCTATTGCAAAGAATCGTGAAGTATATAATCTCACATCCTCTTTCTTTATTACTTGTCCACGCTCTGACTAAGCTCGGGCTCCCATTCAGGTTAGAAAGACTCCTGGCCATTTGTCTGGCATCTTCTACTTCTAGGATTCCCTGCCCACCCACGAAAGGTACAAATATATTTATTGTCCAACATGCCCTAAATCATACTGTGATCCTACCAAGGCTAATTAAAATATAGTTTAAAGGGGAAAAAAACAATGAAAATACCCCAACAACATTGTGAAACATTTATTTTTGTTTTGCAGTATTAAGCCATGATTAAAACCACTGTAGAAAAATACAAAGTACACTGGATAAGAGGTAAGTTAGCTGTTTCAGTATTTGCTTTTATAATTCAGTTAAGACAATGGGCACCTAAGATAGCATCATTAACTCAAAGATGCAGCTGAAGGGTTAGATATGATACCCTGTCCATTCTACTAGCCTCCAAAAGCATTCAAGGGATCATCAAATATGTCTGACACCTTCTTTTCAGATTTTTAGTTCAGGCACTGCCTGTGAGGATCGACTTTTCGGTTTGGTTTTCTTAGCCTGGACACCAGAGGAGCATAAGTCATCTTTAAAAAGAAAAAGAGAAAGAAAGAAAGAAAAAGAGATGTGAATAGGCAAGAAAATGAGTGCTTTTAAGGTGCATCTACACAAATCACAAAAGACTCAAGTCTGGTAACAGTATGGGACCAAAAAACACTATGACAGAGCCAAGCCTCCTAGATTTTGGTCCTGGCTCTGCAACTAACTATTTGACTCACATACCAGTCATAGGTTCTTTCTAAGCACAATTTTCTCAGCTACAAAGGTATATATGTACATATGCAAGAGAGGGAAAGGGAAAAGAAAACGATCTCCAATCCACTCCAACTTTATGATATGTAACATTGTACTTCATTCAACCTTTTCCCATTGGATTTTAAGAGCAATAAAAGTAAGCAACGGGAAATTCAAAATAGGAGTTGCCCTCTTTTAGAATAAATGCATCAATCTGAGGAATATCAATGTAAGTGCTAAGAATGTAAGTCTTGATGACGCCATTCCTGCTCAGTGTTCCACTGACACCAGTGTTTTATTAAAACAGGCATGCATTACTTTTTTTATAATAAAACAAAAGAAGTTTCTTCTGCACCCCAGGTGACGGGAAGCACATGGAGACAAAGCACAAGGCTCATGTAGGGAACAGTCCCAGTGTGGCCCTGCAATACCAGCTTTCTCCCAGTTAACCCCCAGATCAACCCCTGGGGGAGGAAGGGGAAAAGTAATAAATGGGTATTTGGCCTCAACTCAAGCTCTATCTACCGACACAGAACATACCAGAAGCTGTACATTTAGGTTTATGGGACATTTGGATTGGCCCTCAGTAAAGTAGTTACACCATGGAAAGAAAATGAGTATGTTTACACACAGAGATTGTTGGTGAAATGCAATGTATGAGTTATAACCTGCTTTCCTATATAGTCCTGCTCTCCTGCACTGCCCCTCCATTCTCTAAACCACTGATGCTCACTCTCCTGTTAGGACTCTGACTCAATCAAATACCTCACACCCGAGACAGCCACCTCAATATACTTTAGCCTGTGGGGTAGTTTCTGGTCTCCTTTCATAATCAGAGTGTTCCAGGTAATTGGCAGTGGGTGTACTAAGATATAAACTAAATTATACTTAAAAATCAGATTCTGCCCCTTCAAATTCCTTCATGTCCATCATACCCAAAAGTTGTTTCACCAAAATGACTAATCCATTCACTTGTCCATCCTTAGCCTAACTCAGGGTTAGATAGCATGCCAAAGGAAACCCACTGGGGTGCACTGTCCAGGCAAGGGCCAAGACAAAGGTAGCAGGAGAAATAATCAAGTCACTGAATGAATGACTTTCTATGTCATATGAAGACAACCAAACTTACCCATATCATCAGCAAATACAGACTTGGCTTCACTTTCTTTTCGGACATTTCTTTTGGTTTTACAGTTAAGTCAGCAAAGATGTCAATATTATCATCAAACAAGTTAGACTCAAATGTTCTTTCCTTCTCTCTTGTTTTCTGTGAGGGTTTAATTGCTTCTGTAGCAAATATATCATCCTTGTTAAGCTAAAAAATGAAACAATTTTAAATTAAAAAAAAACTTGATTTAACTGCCCCCTCAGCCTGGAATGCACTATTCCAGGATCTCTGCCAGCCCTGGTCCTTCTCAGGCCTGTCTCAGCTCAAACGCCAGCTCTGCGGAGCGGCCTTCTCTACCACTCCACATGCAGGAGCTCCTCCCATCCCTATTGGTCATTCTTGTCCCAAGGCCTTGGATTGTTTTCTTTATGACACTTAACTTTGTCTGAAAACTTCTTATTTATCTGTGGCCCTGCCTGTAGCCCCCGCTCCTCCCTAAGAACTCTGAGGAGCACAGTGCCGGTTCTCGTTCTCCCTGTGCCCGTTTCTGGATGCTCAGTGAACCCCCGCCAGAGAGTACCTGACCACTGAAGGCCTTACCGCTGCACTAAATCGTCAGCCCCAGCCAGGGCCTGTTTTCCCACAAACCTGAGGTTCAACTCTCAAGCTGTACCAATAGTGGTTGATATATGTCAGAGTGGCATGCCAAGGAAGCTGCACTGACATTCTGGTAAAAATGACAAAAACCAAGACCTGTACCAGTGGTTATGGCTAACCAGGAACTACCCCCTACATGAAACAAAATACTACTTCTAGGTAAGTTTCAGAGTTATTAATAAGAAAACCTTATTGTAGTTACAAAGCAAATAGTGACCAGACAGCAATGAATCAAGCTTAATGCAAATGTAATATACATTAATGTCACCAAATAAGCCAATCAGGTATTTTTTCCCTTAACATAGAACCAAGCACAAAACATATTTTTATGTCTTATTACCTCAAAAATATCTTGTGATTTTGAGATGACATCCTGCTGATGGTTGGATTTTGACTCATTTTTCTTACCCTTCTGGTCTATGAAGAGATCATCCTCATCTTCCAGGAGAGGGAAGGGATTTGTTTTCTTTGCTGGTTTTGGTGTAACAGACTGAAAGAGATCATCATCACTGCCTGCCTCACCTAGAGCAGGAAACACGGAGCTCTTTTCCTTACTTCCCCCTGGAGATGTAGCTAGGCTCTCTGCTGCCTTCACCAAGACTGTTCTTCTCCCAGTGGACTGAGAACCAGGGCCCTTGGAAAAAATGTCCTCCGAATCAAAAATGTCATTCTCAAGAGGCTGACCCAAAGATTTCGCAAAGGAGTTTCCATTCATTCCAAGCACGGGAACACCTGCCCAAGGTGGAGTAGCAGTTGCCACAGCTTCCTCAGAGTCTTTTCCACCACGTGTTCTGGGCTGTGGCTGACAGCCATCTGGTGAAATGGTGCTATCTGCCAATTGTGCAACAGATCTTCTGGGGACACTCACGTCCTCAGCCTCACTGGACTCCTGGGCAGCCAACTGCCGAGCTGCTCGGGTCTGTGGACTGCGCTTTCCTCTGACTTTCACTCTGCTCTGCAATGGCAAAAATCAAATGTTGATATGATGATTAAAAAAAAAAGTTTTCAAGACACTGGGAGCCAAGATGGCGGCGTGAGTAGGACAGTGGGAATCTCTTCCCAAAAACATATATATTTTTGAAAAAACAGCAAATACAACTATCCCTAAAAGAGAGACCAGAAGACACAGGACAACAGCCAGACTACGTCCACACCTGCGAGAACCCAGCGCCTGGTGAAAGGGGTAAGATACAAGCTGCAGCCCGGCGGGACCCGAGGCCCCTCACCCCAGCTCCTGGCAGGAGGAGAGGAGTCAGACCAGGGAGGGAGAGGGAGCCCAGGACTGCAAAACACCCAGCCCCAGCCATCCGCACCAGAGTGCAGACACACAGTGCATGCGTGGGGTCCTGGAAATCAGGGAAGCAGGACAGTAAGACCTGTGAGGGGGTCCTGCAGCCGGCAACCCTGGGACAAAGAAAAGCAAGTGCTTTTTGAAAGTCTTAAAGGGACAGGGACCCCACAACTGGACAGAAGCATCCTGGGTCACAGTCCAGCAGCTGGAAATTCCAGGGATCTCTGGGCGCACTAACCCCCGGGGCAACAGCTCTGAGACGCCTCACGGAGGTAAACAGCCAAACAGCACCCCCGTCCATTATCCCTCTGGGGCCCCGCCATAGCAGAGCAGCAGCCTGAGGC